GCTAACAACCAGAATTGAAATTTAATACGCAAGTACTTACCGTACTACAAGTATACAGAGAGTAGATTTGCTACTCCCTTTTGGCAGCAGCAAATATCTCTCGTACGCGATGAGGGAAAGTAGAGTACGTACTTTGGTGGAGTAATAGCAAGTACGTCAAGTATTTACTCTCTCAACGCCAAGTAGTGTATGTATGCGGAAAAAAAGTAACAATGTGTTGGGAGTAGAGTACAATGCAACGAGTACTTATTGAATGAAATGCGGCAAATACAATTGCGCTGGACTCTAGTACATATGTATGTAAGATAACCTCCGATAATCTGACGGAACTCTATTTAGTGGTTTTTGAGTTTAGTCCGAAAAACGAAAACGGCTATCATTTTATGTATATAGGTATGTAGATAGGACAGTCTATAGCGAAACTGGTAAAATCAAAGCTCTATTCTTTGTGAAAAATTTAAAAAAAATTTCACATAAATTTTAACTTTTACTAAAAATTAAAAACAAAGATGCAATAGTTCAATATGATTTGGAAATCTAGGAGAAAATGGTTCCCAATCGAATGATACGCGTTTACGTAAAATTAGCTACTACTTGCATCTGGTAATTATGTCCTCTGCTTATGGTTTTAAATAGTTCGTTCTATAGTTGAATAAACATTCTCACCATTTACGCCAAAGTTGCTTACCTCTATTGGAAATAATAGATTATATGTTCCAAATTCAACTGTTACGGGTGTGACTTGACTTTGTGACGGGTGTGACAAGTTGAGCATGAATACATAAATACACATTATTAGACAACTAAACTAACTTTATTTCTCAAAAAATCTGATTTTACAAACACATACAAGATTCTGCCACCTAAAGGATCATGGATTATCCCGCTTGATCGGACTCTTCATCTCCATTGTATGCCTGAGTAATTGTAAAGTACCTTATTTTTAAATAGTATGAAGCTGTTACCTGTAAAAACTGTTTTAGTTACTGTTTTTGCCCTGTCAAGCGAAGTAATGGTGTCTTTTTATCCGTGACAGCATAGCTTAAGTTTTCCCATCGCTCGAGCAACATATCTTTATGATTGGCTTTATCATCGCATGATCACAAACAGATATATGACACATTTCAGATTAGCAGATAAGTAACGGTAGCAGTACTTGGCCGAATTTACTGAAGTTTGTCAACCTTTAAATTGAGACGGGTGTGACATGTGACGGGCGTGACCAACATAATCGGTTCTTTTTTNAGATAACCTCCGATAATCTGACGGAACTCTATTTAGTGGTTTTTGAGTTTAGTCCGAAAAACGAAAACGGCTATCATTTTATGTATATAGGTATGTAGATAGGACAGTCTATAGCGAAACTGGTAAAATCAAAGCTCTATTCTTTGTGAAAAATTTAAAAAAAATTTCACATAAATTTTAACTTTTACTAAAAATTAAAAACAAAGATGCAATAGTTCAATATGATTTGGAAATCTAGGAGAAAATGGTTCCCAATCGAATGATACGCGTTTACGTAAAATTAGCTACTACTTGCATCTGGTAATTATGTCCTCTGCTTATGGTTTTAAATAGTTCGTTCTATAGTTGAATAAACATTCTCACCATTTACGCCAAAGTTGCTTACCTCTATTGGAAATAATAGATTATATGTTCCAAATTCAACTGTTACGGGTGTGACTTGACTTTGTGACGGGTGTGACAAGTTGAGCATGAATACATAAATACACATTATTAGACAACTAAACTAACTTTATTTCTCAAAAAATCTGATTTTACAAACACATACAAGATTCTGCCACCTAAAGGATCATGGATTATCCCGCTTGATCGGACTCTTCATCTCCATTGTATGCCTGAGTAATTGTAAAGTACCTTATTTTTAAATAGTATGAAGCTGTTACCTGTAAAAACTGTTTTAGTTACTGTTTTTGCCCTGTCAAGCGAAGTAATGGTGTCTTTTTATCCGTGACAGCATAGCTTAAGTTTTCCCATCGCTCGAGCAACATATCTTTATGATTGGCTTTATCATCGCATGATCACAAACAGATATATGACACATTTCAGATTAGCAGATAAGTAACGGTAGCAGTACTTGGCCGAATTTACTGAAGTTTGTCAACCTTTAAATTGAGACGGGTGTGACATGTGACGGGCGTGACCAACATAATCGGTTCTTTTTTCGAAAATAAAAAGCATATAAATACGTAAAAGTAATTCGCACATATTCCCCTGTGTCATAGCGTTACTTTCGTCAGCTTTTTTACACAGTCCAAGTCCTTCAAAAAATAACCATTTTGTGTATTTCGTGACGAGCGTGACATTAAAATATGCTTTGCTTCAATATATAATAAAATATTTAGTACTTACCCGAAAATTTTGAAAACTACGCCGTTATAATGCTAACGAATGCTCTCCACTGACGGCTTAAAAAATGCAAAACAGATAATAGACTACGAAAATCAGTCTTGTAAATTTTGAAAAAAAATTACCTCTCATATGGGTTCGTAAATGGTACAACCTAAAGTAAAAAAATATCTAATTTTGAGATAAATTTCGGAATTTCGGCTTTCAGTCTTGAAAGTTAGATTTATTTAGTCTTACTTACTAGAAATAATAAAGTCAAATTCTAAAGTTTATTTTGTTTCATTCGGTATCAATTACCGTGGAATGAGCCAAAGTAAAAAATAAGAGATCATCTGTGGACTTACATATACATATTTATACATATACACATATGTGTATTAATATTAGTGTATCATATTGTAAATACACTGGCTAAAATTCTTCTATGAAAAATCAATACTTATCATCAAAATACTTCTATGCTATTAAGACAGTCTTATCTTTTACTGTTAAGGTTTTCAATACATTATTTTCAGTTTTTTAAAATGGTTTTATCCAAGTATAAGGTTTAATTTAAAAAATATCTTAGAAATATTACAGCATCTAAAGTATCATACGCAAGACAAGATCTTAGTTTATTGCAAGCATATCCAGCCGTTGAAAAGCACCTTTCGGACTCCACGCTAGTTGGAGAAACTGTTAGTAACATGTTGTAAACCATTTGTAAATTAGATCCTCGAGATCCACCTGATACAAAAAGATCTACTTCTTGTGAAACAATGTCGCGTAGTTTATGAATAAATGAAGTCCTGCGTTTTATTTGGGCTTACACATTTTGCAATAGCGTTTTGAAGTTTACTTTCTAAACATTCACTTTCATTTTCATCAAAACATGATAAGCCGAAATTTTCGTCACCCGTAGCATCGCCAATAGGCCTTGTACCAAATGTTTGCAAAAATTTTATTATTTGTTTTTTTTTTTTATTGAGGAAATACTAAACTGACAAAAGTCATTTAACTCTGAATTTATTTCTGGATTCGTCAAAAAGTTCAAAGTAGCAGAATAAATATTTCTTCGCTCTTTAATACGCCTTTTTAGAGCACTTAATAGCTCGTTGCTGAAAAAAAAATGTGATTTCGAAACTTCCTGCAACATGAAAGTCATCGCCGCATCAGCTTTGCACAAGTTCATATCAGAACGGCACAAAGCTAGCTTCTACAGTAATTTATACAGGCTTTAAAACATCTAAAATGCTTTTTATAATATAACTATCATTGTCAGATATGGGAGTTATTTTTAAATCGATGAAAGCTTTTTTAACGGAAGTTTCTAGTAATAAAAAATTAACTGCGGAGAAAAATAGTTTGATATCTTCTGAACTTCCGTTTCAGGTGCGACCTTTAGATTTTCGCTGCGCTTTGATGTTGTGAACCTAAATAAATATAATTTTTACGTGCAAAAATTAATTGCAGTTAAACTGCCCGATTGTACTTACATTTAGATGAGTCCAAAGGCCTTTGGTGCAACCACCATTGGTTTTTATAATTTTGCTGCAAGTTTTGCACATTACTGTGCTACCACTTTTAGCTGCAATCAGAAAATGAAACCAGGCGGATTCTTTATCTTGCGGTTTTGTTGAGTGTGGAACATAATCCACATTGTTCAAGGGGGCACAAGCTATAATTTTAAAGAAATGTATCTTATTTTATTTAAAAGCAAACAATATACAGCCAGATTACCCATATTGATGAAAATTTGTAGTTGCGCGCTAATTATAATGACAGGTCAAAGCGAAAGAGAGAAGAATGTCAAATGGTAACAATATGGTTGCTGTGATTACTTACACATGTAGCGTTGCAATTTCATAACATAGAATAATAGTGGGGTTACAATTATAATAGATTATTTGATCATTTTCCGTGTGCAATTTTATTCGATTCTTGTACGCCATTACAGTGTCTGAATTTTGTTCTATTTTAATTTGGTCGTATATTAAATTATATCCCGGGATCCCGGGGGCTTAATTCCGAGATTCGGGATCCCGAATCCCAGTACTAGATGCCTTAGTACAGACTAGAGATGTTGCGAATGTTAATTTTTGTTGAGTACATTAGGGCATTTGGGTAAATAAGAAATGGAAAAGTTATTGATTTTTAATAATTTTTTTTTATTTAGTAGAAAGAGTAATTTTGCTGCCTTTTCGGGTTACAGCCTGTTTCCTAACGGGTCGTAAATCAAACCTGCTCCACTAAATAACTGAGGCGGCAAACTCGAAAGCCTTAAAACTTGACAAAATAGTAAATTCTTTTCGATTGACGCTGCACCAGTTGTGAGGACTTTCAGTTATAATTCTTTTTTTTTTATTGCGGTACAACAATTTCTTTTTGGGAATTACATCGGGGCTGCAAATGTCGGATGTATCCTCCTGACTTTCATCTTCACAATTTAGCATCACCTAACAAGATCACTGTTTAAACACCGTTATGTTCCAATTTGGAGCACCAATTCTTTTGGTTGTTTCAGAATTTGGAGAATGTTTTTCGATTTTAGTTTTTGTAATTCATTTTTAATCCTGTCTTCTGTGACTGGTTTGAAAAATGTGCGCTCATGCCGAGGTTGTGAATACGTGGATATGGCAAATAAATTATTTTCTAGGAATGAAAATTTCGAAAAAAAATCTGTTTTGAAAGTCGTGGCAGCCAGAATTAGTTTAAAATCTTGTTATTTTGTTAAAGAGGTATCCCGTTTCTTATAATAATTTGAATTATGGAATCACGGACGATAAAGGCTTCAGATTTGCTTAGTTCCCGGGCGACTTCTTGGAAAGGTTCGCCTGTAATGAATACCTTGTAATTAGTTTCTTTTGTAAGTTAGATGAGCTCGGCCTTTCCTTGTTGCACGCAGCCACAATTAATTACTCACCGCTGTCAGTACCATAAGCCATCAAATCCGTTTTGTTGCTCCATTCCATGCGCACAATGTTTTTTGATATATTTTTTGAGGCGAATGAACGCAAATTTTCAAGGTACATATGTATCAGGGACCGCCAATAACAGTTACTTTTTTTGAACAGCTAAACTTTGCCAGATATTTTTAAGTTGAAAATAAACGTCCTTTCCTAATAATAAACAAACCGCTTATCCAAATTTAACAAGTTTGGTATCAACTGAAAGAGGACTAAAATAGTGCTAAAACAGAAATATTTAAACGAGGAAAGCCAGCTATTGAAAAATATTTAAATAAAAAATGTTTTTAATTACCATAGAACAAACCTTGGGTCAGGTATATGCATTTCTTTTGTATTAAATTATAAAAAAAAAACAAGTAAAAGCAGCGCTGTCTTCGGATATGCTGAAGGCTTCATACCTTTCATGAACATCTGAAAACTTTACTTTAACAGATTACTGTATTTGAAAAAATTTATATATTTACAGCACACATAGATAGAGGAGGTACATATATAAAAAATCGTATCTAAACAATTAGAAGTATGGAAGATATACCTTATATAGCACCAATCTAAGTGATTTTCACTGCTGTTGGATCGGTATGTAAACCGGTAACACAATATAATGGGTTTAGCTTCCTACATTAAGGAGATATATTGCAAAAACTGGTGTAGGAACAATCAGTGGTATAAGAGATAAAGCTTATACAGCATAGATTTTGACGATTTTCTCAGTAGACTTTGTATTATTATTTATACAATAGCTTACGAAATTAAACGGTTTCAGCTGTCCAAATAAATTAGTTTTACATTAAAATCCCATATCTGAACAATCAGTTGTATGGAGGCAATATATAAGTTATACTGACCCGATCTTTGTTAATTTCACTGTAAACTATCTGTTGATAATGAGTGAAAATAGTGCGAAATATCATGTTTCTAGCTGCATATATGGATAAGTTATAACAAAGAATCTCATATCTGAACAATCAGTCGTATGGGAGCTATATGTAAAAGTGGCCCGATCTTTGTTATTTTCACTGTAAGAATTCTGTTGATAGTAGTTGGAAAATACTTTCAAAATTTCATGTTCCTAGCTGCATAAATTGGAGAGTTATAACGAAAATTCTCATAACTGAACAATCAGTTGAATGGGAGATATATGTTATAGTGACCCGATCTTTGTTATTTTCACTGTAAGAATTCTGTTGATAGTAGTTGGAAAATACTTTCAAAATTTCATGTTCCTAGCTGCATAAATTGGAGAGTTATAACGAAAATTCTCATAACTGAACAATCAGTTGTATGGGAGCTATATGTTATAGCGGTCCGATTCTTCCGGTTCCGACGAATGATTAATACAATATAAAAATACACCCAACTACCAAATTTCATCTGGATATCTCGAAAACTGAGAGACTAGATTGCATACAAACAGACGGACAAACAGAGAGACAGACAGACAGAGGGACAGACAGACAGACGGACAGACAGACAGACGGACATGGCTAAATCGACTCAGCTCGACATTCTGATCATTTAAGTATACATTTTATTGGGTCTATCTTTTCTTATTCTGGTACTTACAAACATCGGACCAAAATTATAATATAATTTCATGCTCATGAAAGGTATAAATATAAATAGAAGTGGTAGCCTTCGATAGTTATTTCTGTTTAAAAACTATTTAAGTCCTCTTTTATTTGGTACCAAGTTTGTTTAATTTGGATAAGCGGTTTGTTTACTATCCGGTAAGACTTTTATTTCGAACAAAAAAAATATCTGGCCAAGTTTAACTGTTGGAACAAAGTAACTGCTATTTACGGTCCCTGATATGTATCGTTAATACTATTTCACATTGTCGCTGAAATGCAAAAAACCACAACTAACTATATTTTTGTATTGCCAAAAACGATGTAGGGACTTATGATTCGATGAAATGCATCATAATCAATCAAAAAGTTAATTTTGGATTTTTAGTTAGTTACGGCTTTATGTATTTCAGCGACGATGTGAGTTAAGCCCTTTCCATACTATACTAACGATATATTACATGCCAAGTCCCACTCCTCAATAGATAAAAAATTCACCTTGAATTAATTCTTATTTAATTTGTGAACTTGACTGCCGACTTATTTACATATAATTTCATCTTTATTTCGATGCGTGCTAATTTTGACAATTTATACAAAAATAAAATAAATGTTTTTGTTTTCGAGCTGAAAGACGGAACTTAAGAATAATAAGTTTTATGAGCAAAAAGTAATTAAACTTTTTTAAGAAGAAGTAGAAAAATACTAGCGATGCTTCCAGCTTTTCCAGCAGACCTTTGACAAATAATATTCGATAGCTACATAATTCTTACCTAATTAAAGGTAACCTTTTAACACGCAAATAGTCGACTCTCTTTATAGCCAGCTGTTGAATATTTCCGCTGGAAATACCTACTATTATCTTACTCTTTGACTTTAAATTACGAAAGAAGGTCGACAGTCTTAACGTAGCATCTCCCCAGGCAAAAAAATGTTGGCTAAAATTTTTTGTTTGCCAGATATACGTTTTATCAGTGCACTTTCACAATATTCGCATTCGCAATAATCAATGCGGAGCTTTTGCGAATGTTAAAATTTATGCGGAACTTCCGCGGTTGTGAGTGCGAATGCGAATGCGAATATTCGCAACAACCCTGGTACAGACCTCGGCCTGTTACAATTTTATTATAAGTATAGATATAGACTTCATTTATATTAAAAATTTAATACAATACAATTTTTCAAACAGGTGGCTGCCTTCCCTAAAAATATTTTCGGCAATAAAATTTCCCCAACCTCTTCAGTTTGATACCCATATTGTAATATTCAATTTATCTTATAAATTAAATTAAATTAAAATTTTCAAACAGGTGGCAACTCTAAGAAGATATTTTTGGCTGTAAGCCTTCTTAAGCTTCTTTCTTTTGACGCCCATATTCCAATATTCACTTTTTCATATCAATTTACTTAAACTGCAATTTTGAAACAGGTGACAACTCTCTAATTTTATTCTTTCTATATTTTAAGTTAGACCTCTAGCAATACATCGGTGAAAACTGAATTCAAATCCATGCATTCGTTTTCGAGTGATGCGCGTGCAAACATACAGACAGAAAAATTCTGGTTGATTTGGCTTCTGGTGCTCTAATAAAGACCCCCCCACATTAATTTTTCGTTAATATCTGTAATGTATAGACATCGACCTGTTAAAATTTTATTATATGTATAGATGTGTTTCTTGTGTGTAAATTTGTAAGTGTGTATGCATATGCTGATGACATTCAGTTATATTTGTCTGGTAGTTTCAGTAATCTAGGTGATCTTTCTCGTAAAGTTAATAGTGATCCTGCATCCATTTTGTGCTGGACGATTGCCAATGCACTCTGTTTGAATGCTGATAAATCGTATGTGTTGCCAATCTCAAAAAAAAAACAATTTCCTAGAGACCAAATTCCTCCACGTTGCATTGGTAACACTACTTTGAAAACCGTTAATAAAATTTAAAATCTTGGGTTTATTATAAACTCGAATATGACATGTACTGATCATATGAACTCTGTGGTAGGTAAGGTTTATTGTGTTTTGCGCAATCTAAGGCAATCTGAAAAGTTTACGTCCGTTAACATTAGAAGAAAACTTGCCGTGCAACTAATCTTGCCAATTATAGCCTATTCTGAAGTAGTTTATAATAAGTTAGACTCACGTTCTGCTCACAAAATTGATGTTGTCTTCTATTTATATCGCTTATCTTATTTAACTTATTT